TGGAGTCAACTGCATGAAGTGCGTAACTTGTGTACTTCTTCACACAGTTATCTGCCGACGACAAAAAACCCTCACAGTATTTGCGTATTCCAAAATCCCATTCGCATACTGTGCATTGGCTACTGTGTGCATGGACGTACAATATCTGCCTGTAACATAGGCGGCGCATATTGCACAGGGCATAATACTCAAGAGCTGGCAAAATACCAAACATGTAGCAAAGAAAGCGTGTGAATATGTATTGTCATGCTAGCAAGGAGGGTAGTGGTCCCATAGGAGTTTTGAACTGCGGACTTTACGACAGCTGTTAGATTTCCGGACGTTCCAATTTCCTTTATTATTAAACCAAAAGAGTTTCCCGAAACAGTTCAGTGTTCAAACAAACACAATGTTCGTCTTATTTTGTTTTTTTTAATTTTGATACACTTTTTCATTATCTATGCAATGTGTGCAATTTTATTTTGTCACTCCAAAACATCAGTTTTCAAAGTCTTTGTACGAATTTGGCTAAGACTGGCGAACAGCACGTTGACCACCACAGGACAGCTAAGTTCATAAAAAACAAAATGTGCAATTTCATCACAAGGACTGATCATGAGATATCATAAAATCTCTTTTCGTATAACTTCCGCATTAAAAAATGATTCAAATAAAACACACAATCTTATATTTATCCTGAAAATAAGTCCAGAAGAAAGGGTTCGATAAGGGCAATAATTGCACATGAACACTTCGGGAACACAGCCTAATACAAGCAACTGTGCAAGCATTAAATTTTGATGTTGTCAGATCATGCGAGATACCAACGATTACATGAATATTCATTTCCCTATACTTCAGTACTCTAAGATTTAAGGATGTAGATTCCCAACGAAAAATTGGGCAATGATCATAGGGTACAAAGGGGTCTTATGGTTGTGGAACAGGTGGTGCGTAGCAAGCACTCACTGCGCTCTGGCTATGGACATACCAGAAAGTGGAACTGGCCAGTTGTTATAGCCCAGGCAGTTTAAACTCCATCTATGTCTTTCTTCCAAGCGGTGATTATGCTCACCGTCTAATCCATGACTGCAGTTTTGAGGCATTTTAGATTCCCAGGCAATCAAGGTGGTCTTTGTGGACAAACACGACAGACAGTGGGCAATTGCGATTCCCAGGCCTCCAGAGAATCCTACCAGAACCAACTTCTAACAAGCTCTCCACCAAAACATGAAAAAGATAATGAAAAAATGTCCCTACCCAACCTCAGTATAAACTGCTACATATTGATATTTTACGAGTTCAGTCGTTGAAATTTTCTGCACTATAACGTCATCTGCTTGCACAAAAAATCATTGTCTGCTAGAAAATAAAGTGCCCATGCGCACAGAAAGTACCGCTCAGAATCGGTTGATTTGTGTATCAGCGGCACCCTCTTTAGATTATTGTTAGTGCAATGCCACTGTGCGCGTACGTGCGGTTTTCTTCCGCACCCAATCATGCGGAGTTGCAAAACCAGTGTCTATTCAATACCGTTAACAACTAGTAGCTTTCCCTTCTAATCCTTGGGGAAATAATGGCCACTTGTCACTTTCCAACATAAAAAACACCGACTGTTTTATCATGTTGATGTTCGGGAATTACAAATAGCAACTGAATACATGTAGTGTTTGGTAGGTTCTGTGCACAAATTATTGGGAACCTAGGATGATGTTCGGTACAGCCAAATGTTCGGTATAGCGGCGTTCCACTGTATATGGACACCAGTAATTATTCCCAACAGTGACCTATTAACTATCAGAAAGCAAAAAAATGTCTAGGAGAGTTCGATTTAGGAGGGGAAATACTGAGTCATTTACTTAGAAAACTCTTTGAATTTTTCAGACCAGTCTCTTGTACCCGTTGTCAAGGGATGTCCGCATATGGAGATCTTTCCGCAAGTACCCCCACTGGGCTGCACAGTATAGTGAGAAAGTTCTTAAACTCTGTGCTAGACAATAGCAGTGACAGGTGGACCTTTTTCACCCATGTGACTAAATGTAAACAATACCACCACTTGTGGACTGCTTTGGCCTCAGTAATCACATACATTCCTATGGGCAGCTTAAAGTTTCAACCACATACAAGCGCCCATGCGAACGCTGCATGCTTGACTAGTGTATCTTGAATAGGTAGATTACCATCACAACACTATGTGCTTATTACCGTCACAGCACATCATAGGTCCAGCACAATAGTGACATCACTGGAAAAAGGTCTATACGACCCATTCTCAGCAGTCAACTGTCTCCTGCTTAACAACTTCAATTGTCCCATAATAAGCATGGCCTTCTGAACTTCATGACTGCAGACCAATCACCTCAACTTCTGTCATAATGAAATGTTTAGAACACATCATTATAAAACATCTTTTGGAACCTTTAGCAAAACTGTATTGACCAATTTCACTTTGCATACCACCCCTACGAATCCATTGAGGATGTATTGTTATGTCTGATGTTTGCAATCCAACAATATACTAATTCCACTTGTTAGGCATTTTGTAGTAGTGACTAAAGATTGATTAATTGGATCAGATTGGTAATTGGATTGATTTGGATTGGATGGGATTGGGTTTTGTTTTAGATTTAGTTTCAGTTTCAATTGTAGTTTTAGTTTCGGGTTCGAGTTCAGGTTCTGGTTCGGGTTTAGTTTAGTTTTAGGTTTTAGTTTTAATAAAAAGCAAACTGAATGGTTATTTCTTCAAATGGATGCAATTCCTTCGTTGTTAAAATTCCTTTCTCAACTTGAAATTTGCAAATTCAAATTACTCATACAACGCAACAGCTAATCTTCAAGAAATGTTTAAGATAATCATTTTTGTGTTTTTCTTTACACAGTAATAGAAGATTACATTGGCAGTTACATCAAGATCTTCCGTCCAACCATAGTTACACTAAACTCCCACCAGCTCCATTTTGCCATACCAAAACCCATCTGTTCTCGAAGCATTGGCTTTTCAAATAAATCGGCAGCATCGGAAGTGGGACAGAGGGAAGCGCCACTTGCTGCTACTCTGCCGATTAAACCAAGACGCCCACGTCGACGACGAACAACTTTCACCCAGACACAGCTTTCAGTTTTGGAGAGGAAGTTCCATTGCCAAAAGTACCTAAGTGTAGCTGAGAGAGGCACTCTTGCTGATCGACTTAATTTAAATGAGACGCAGATCAAGACATGGTACCAAAATCGAAGGTAAGAAACTACATTTTTCTGTCACAAAGAACTTTTTGGCATAGTATCAGTACCATAATCCCAGAAGTATGTGTTGTGATAGGAACTATCTTATGAGCGCATGTATACAGTGGTGAATAAACTCTCGGTAACTGGTTGGAAGCTTGCAACAACTCCTGTCTCCGCTCCCGCTTTATTGCCATCGATAATATCACATCATGGTGGCAGCGGTGAAAAAAACTCAGTTGGGAGCGCACTCTGTGGTACTGTCATAAATACGACGGACTTTCAGGAAGTCTCCGACCAACCCTGGTGCACAATCGACCGCCAGCCGAGCTCGGAGACAACGTTTGCCCGACCGAGGAGCTGACAGCCATATTCCTGCGTGTATTGTGTGCATGCACTACACCGCCACGCCGTAGACAACACGATCCGGCCGAGTACGCAGAAAGCCTGCTCGGTACATGTGACTTACCTCACCACGTTCCAAACATCGTTGTGGTTTTGCCAACCTTCTAGTTTTCTTGCCACAGTTAAAGTTGCATAGTAAAAGTAGTGTTAGTTTTAGTAGTTAACAAAAAGAAGTAAACTGGAACTCCATACCAACTAAACAGTTTACAAGTTCATTTAATGTTTTTATGAAAGTGTCCAGACAAAATGAACATGGCGTTCTAGCCCGTGAATTATGTCAGCACTACCAGTTTTTAAAGCATTGTTAAACCATAAAAGTTGAGCTTCTCAAGTTGCATGGGGCACAACTTAAGCACTTGGTGGATTACAGATAAAATTAGTTATATATGTACTTTATATTCCACAAATTTTATCTTCAAAAAGGGGGGGGGTGTTGTGATAGGAACTATCTTATGAGCGCATGTATACAGTGGTGAATAAACTCTCGGTAACTGGTTGGAAGCTTGCAACAACTCCTGTCTCCGCTCCCGCTTTATTGCCATCGATAATATCACATCATGGTGGCAGCGGTGGGATATTCCTGCGTGTATTGTGTGCATGCACTACACCGCCACGCCGTAGACAACGCGTGACGACGACCGCGAGCAAGACAGCGCTGCTAACTGCAACGCAACGAGCCACACCGCTCGCCCTACCCAACCAGAACTACACTTCTGTCCACGGAGCTGCAAAGAACACTACGGCAAACACCCAACCTTATTGTTTTGTCGTAAAATCCAGCCATTATTTTGCGATTTTGGCGAGGACTACTTCGCTAGCGAAACTACCGGCGTAGACACACACGCCGCTCCGAGTGTTGACCAGTGTAGTGACTTTCATTCACCGCCATATATGGTTTTTGGTGACGTTTAACGTATCAACATATTCACCCGCCAAAGCTGAGTCTGCGCGGAGTCCCCAACTTGTGAATTAACGGCGACCTTTGACCGGATTCATCCGCCACTACTACGAGCCGGAACTGTGCGCCGCAGATGGTGCTACAGCCGATACAACACGGTGCGGAGGCGAACCAGGATTTCCCAGGAGCAACAGCCAAAACCGAGCGAAACAGCGAGCCGGCGATATCAAGAACTGTTCCTCAAGAGTTTCCTACCTGTGCAGCTACCGGAGCTCGGACCTGGCGAACATTGACTAGACTGTAATTTGTATAATTTCACAGCAGTGTACATTTTTGCTTCTGATTACTTGCCCATGGCCTGTGGTGGGTTAGCAGTTGCCATATATTTTGAAAGTGAAATTTAGCATGTTCAGTGTTCCTTGATATTTTTAAGCCACAATTATTATTGCTACTGTTCCAATTTTAAGTAATCAAGGGTACACGATAGCCATAAACCACAATGTCAAAGTACCCAGAATTGAAATGGGATGCAGGAAACCTCACTGAGGAATTTCAGTTGTTTAAGCAGCGCATGACCCTCTGCTTACAAGACAATGAGATCACCGATAAGCGCAAGATTGCGGTGAAAATTAAGATAGCGGTTGGAAATGAGGGACTCAGGCGCATAAATGCATCTAGCCTCACAGATGAGGAAACAGAGGACCCCGACAAATTGTGGGCCCTTTTCGAAGACCAGCTCCACATTAAGGTTAATTACCGTGTACATCGCATGGAACTTATGAGATATAAACAAAGGTCAGGCGAAACCATTGACGAGTTTGTCACTAGGTGTAGGGACAAAGCAAAACAGTGCAACTTCGGGCCTTCCGAGCTGGCAGACCGTGTGTTTGAATTGGTAATCGGTTCAACGCCATACGAGGCGTTCCAAAAAGAATTGCTAGATAAACCGCCAGATTGCACAATCGATGACCTGCTTGCCGAGGGCCGGAAGTACGAGGCCATAGCGGCGAGCAAAAAATGTCTTCAGAACCTGTCCGAGGGCAGCGCTCCTGTCGATGCAATGCAGCGTTCGCGTAGAGCGTGTTCTAATTGCGGTCTTTCTCATCAGCCGCGCAGATGCCCTGCGTATAACGATGTGTGCAAATCATGCGGATCCAAGGGCCACTGGGCCAAGTACTGCCGCAAGTCTAGGCGCAAACAGCGTGGAGACAGCTCGCCCCGCAGGCGGCGAAGCGCATCGCGAGGCAAGGCACCGTCGCGAGGCAGAGGTGGCAGATCTAAAAGCCGCGAGACCTCCCAGCGTCTAGACCACGTGACCGATGAATCAGCAGGCAACCCACCAGCGGAGCAACCTGGCGCACAGTCTCACGAAAACCTATTCTACTCCATCCAAATCTCCAACCTGAGCATGACCCCTGTAAACCAAATCGGGGTGAACGAGGCGTTCAATGTAATTGATGTCATGTGCCCAGATATGCTTGGCATAAAACGCCTGAAGCTCAAAGTGGACACGGGTGCCAGTGCCAACACGCTTCCTGTCCGCACAATGAAGCAAATGTATGGAGATAGGTGGGGGTCAGTCACTAGACCAGCGGACGCCAAGCTGACGGCCTACAACGGTGCACACATTAAATGCCTGGGCTGCATCGATATAATGTGCCGATACAAGACGTCACCATGGTCGAAAGAAACCTTCTACGTCGTAGATGTGCCAGGTCCTGCCATAGCCGGTCTACCGATATGCCGAAAGCTCAACATGGTCACGATCCATAGTGTTGCACCAACACCCGGTATGACCGACCAGCAGCCCAGCCCACTAATGACGCAGGCTAAGGCAACTTCCCCTGCCAAACCATGGCCGCCACACCAACCAGGCCTGCGAATAGCCTCCATTGATGACCTCATACAGCACTTTCCAGGGAGATTTGACACGCTTGGAAACTTCAAGGAAAAGGCTCATCTATACCTCAAAGATGACGCGAAGCCAAGTATCGACGCACCTCGCAAGTGCAGTATCCACCTTAAGCCAAAGTTGAGGGCGGAACTTGACAGGATGGAACGAGACGGAGTCATACGCCCAGTCACCCATCATACCGACTGGTGCAGCTCCATCACTACAAGTGTCAAGAAAGATGGCTCCCTACGACTGTGTCTGGACCCCAAACGGCTCAACAACAGCCTCAAAAGATGTCCACACAAGATACCAACTCTGGAGGAGCTGAACCCGGAGTTCAGTAAGGCCAAATATTTCTCGAAATTGGACGCCAAAGCTGGGTATTGGTCGGTGCATTTGGATGACGAGTCGCAGGAACTCACCACGTTCCGCACTCCATTCGGAAGGTATTGCTTCCAGCGCCTTCCATTCGGGCTCTGCGTGAGCCAAGACATCTTCCAGCAAGAGATGGACAAGATCATCGATCAGGTCCCAGGCTGCGTGGGAATTGCCGACGATGTTGCTGTCTACGGCAAAACCGAAGAGGAACACGACAACAACCTGCTTCACCTCCTCTCCGTGGCCGAGCAGGAGGGTCTCGTGTTCAACAGTGCGAAGTGCAAGATAAAGGTACCCCACATCAGCTTTTTCGGGTCCACGTACTCGGCCGCTGGCATCAAGCCAGACCCAGCCCGCATTGAAGACATATATGCCATTCCTACGCCCCAAGACAAGGAAGACCTACAACGGTTCCTTGGGCTGATGCAGTACGTCTCACCGTACATACCCAATTTCGCAGACAAAGCAGCACCACTAAGGGACCTCCTCCGGAAGAACGTCCCGTACCTATGGCAAGATGACCATCAAGCCGCGTTCTCCAGCCTCAAATACTCCATATCGGCAGAGTCCTGTCTACAATACTATGACCCAGGAAAGCCGACAACCTTGGAGGTGGACGCATCGCAGAAGGGCCTCGGCGCATGCCTGCTGCAGGACGAAAAGCCTGTCGCTTTCTCTTCCAAAACGCTCTCCACCGCACAGGCCAACTACTCGAACATCGAGCGAGAGGCACTTGCACTCGTCTTTGGGATCACACGATTCCATACCTACCTGTTTGGCAGCAGCTTTACGGTCCACACGGATCACAAACCATTGGTAATGATCTGCGCCAAACCGCTAACGAGTGCCCCACCACGGCTGCAGCGCCTCCTGATCAAAATTCAGGGATACAATTTCTCAATCGAGTACAAGCCTGGCCCCACATTGACACTTGCCGACGCTCTGAGTAGACTCCCAAATCCATGCAAACGAGGTGATGTACCCCTCGACCTCCAGGTAGATGATGCCACACTTGCAGATGGCCCAGTAACCAAGGGCATTGACTTGGTGCACTTTGGGTGCAGCAAGCAGGACGATCTGCAACGGCAAACACAGTGCGACCCAGTACTGAAGACACTTCAACAGCTCGTATACACTGGATGGCCCAGCACTATTCGGGAGCTACCATGTGACCTACGACCGTATTGGTCATACAGAGATGAACTGGGAGTATCCTGTGGTGTGGTTTTCAAGGGCAGACAAGTTGTCATACCAGAAACCATGCGCGCAGACATCTTGAACCAGCTGCATCTGGGACACTTAGGTGTCGAGAAAACCAGACGCCTCGCCCGCAACTCTGTCTATTGGCCAAAGATCAATGACGACATTGCCAAGCTCGTGGCAGATTGTACGGTGTGCCAAGAAACACAGCCACGGCACACTAAAGAGCCAATGATACCCCACGAGATCCCGTCCACGCCATGGACAAAGCTCGGTACCGATCTTTTCCAGCTTGACGGTGAAGATTTTCTTGTCATCGTCGATTACCACTCGAAGTTCCCAGTGGTACACAAGCTGACCAACACCACAAGTGCAGCAGTCGCTCATCTGACTGCAGCAACGTTTGGCCTTCTGGGAGCGCCCACGGAGATTGTTTCCGACAATGGCCCCCAATTTGCAGGTAAAGCATACCAGGAAATGTGTAAAACCTGGTACATCAGGCATACGACGTCGTCACCAACTTACCCCCGCTCCAACGGCCTTGCGGAACGAATGGTCCGCACGATTAAGACCTTGTTGACAAAGTGCCGGAAGTCTGGCCAGGACATCAGCCAGGCGATGCTCAACCTGCGAGCAACACCAATCGAGCCAAACCTGCCTTCGCCAGCCGAGATAATGTTCGGCAGAGCGATTCGAACCACACTGCCAAGTAATAACCCACACTTAAGCCACAACACTTCAGCTGAAACATACACAGGCCTTCAACAGAGACAAGACAAAATGAAACAATGCCATGACAAACATGCGGGACCACCCCTTCCACCCCTGCATGTCGGCCAGAAGATCCGACTTCTGGACGATGCATCCAAGACCTGGATTCCTGGGGAAATTGTAAGGGTCAGACAAGAGCCTAGATCGTACGAGGTGAGGACGCCCAACGGGAGAACTCTTAGGCGGAATAGATCACACCTGCGCGAGATGCCTGCTAGCAGCGAACACAGCGTCAACCCCAAGGTGCAAAGCGGCACTGCTGAAGCGAAGCGCCTTGCATTTGATGAGCCCAAAAAGCAGGTCAGATTCGACTTGCCCCCAGACACGGGCGAGTGCTCGCACAGGCAGAGTAAAGCCAAAACACCAGCAACCCCAAATGCTAAAACGGACACATCCGTCACAACACGATCCGGCCGAGTAAGCAGAAAGCCTGCTCGGTACATGTGACTTACCTCACCACGTTCCAAACATCGTTGTGGTTTTGCCAACCTTCTAGTTTTCTTGCCACAGTTAAAGTTGCATAGTAAAAGTAGTGTTAGTTTTAGTAGTTAACAAAAAGAAGTAAACTGGAACTCCATACCAACTAAACAGTTTACAAGTTCATTTAATGTTTTCATGAAAGTGTCCAGACAAAATGAACATGGCGTTCTAGCC